CTCTACCGCAAGGTCTGAAAGCTATTCAGCGTTTTCTTGGGTTCTCCAATTATTATAGACGTTTTATCAAAGGTTTCTCGTCCATTGTAGCACCTATTACCCGTATGACTAAAAAGGATGGCAATACTCGTGTTTGGTCTACCGAGGCACTTCAGGCTTTTGAATTTCTTAAAACTACGTTCGCCTCTGCACCTATTTTACAGCATCCTGTCCCCTCACTGCCCTATATTCTTGAAGTTGATGCTTCGGATATTGGGGTAGGTGCTGTCTTATCCCAAAGAGAGTCGCCTGAGAAGCCATTGCATCCATGCGGCTTCTTTTCTAAACAAATGTCCAAAGCAGAGAAAAATTATGATGTGGGTAATCGCGAACTCCTTGCTATTATTTTAGCACTTAAAGAGTGGAGACATTTGTTAGAAGGAACTAAGGATCCTATCCTCATTTTTACGGATCACAAGAACCTATCCTACCTTAGCGAAGCCAAAAGATTGTCTTCCAGGCAGGCTAGGTGGTCACTATTTTTGTCCCGTTTCAATTTTATTATCACCTATAGGCCAGGTGATCGCAACACTAAAGCAGACGCTCTGTCCAGACAGTTCGAAACTACTGACAAACAGGAGATTGATGTTACTCCTGTCATTCCCCCAGACAGGATAATAGCTACTACTATTTTGTCTATTTCCTCGTCCCTCTTGCAGGCCATACAAGCGAAACAAAGCATGGCACCTAGCGAGAGGCCTAATGATAAACTGTTCGTTGATGTTCCTGAGAGACGGGATATTATGTCATTATATCATGATACTAAGACCGCTGGACATCCTGGTATTTCCAAAACGGTGTCAGCTGTTTCTCGGTATTTTTGGTGGGATTCCTTACGAAAGGATGTCACTGACTATATAAGTGCTTGTACTACTTGTGCCTGTATGAAATCCTCCCGTAGAGTTCCTTGTGGGCTGTTGCATCCGTTACCCGTTCCCGAGAGACCTTGGTCTAACCTGTCCATGGATTTTATTGTTGAATTACCCCCTTCAAATGGTAACACAGTGATCCTGATGATAGTGGATCGGTTCTCCAAAATGGCTCACTTCGTGTCTCTTCGCAAGTTGCCCACATCCAAGGAACTGGCTCATATCTTCGCTAGAGAAGTATTTCGATTACATGGGATTCCCGTATCTATTGTATCCGATAGGGGTAGCCAATTTATTTCCAGGTTCTGGAGGGCCTTTTGTTCAGAAATGGGTATTTCTCTCTCATTTTCTTCCGCTTATCATCCCCAGTCTAATGGGGCTGCTGAACGTGCCAACCAGTCTCTGGAGCAATACCTCCGTTGTTTTGTGTCTCACCATCAGGACAATTGGTCTGACCTGCTTCCTTGGGCTGAATTTGCTCGGAATAACGCCACTCATGATTCTTCCGGCAAGAGCCCTTTTTACGTTGTCTATGGCCAGCATCCCGTTGTTCTTCCGGCTGCATTCTCCTCACAGGGCATGCCAGTTCTGGATGAGCATTTGGCTGGTTTGCGTAATACTTGGGAGCAGGTTCAGCGTTCTTTGGTGGACTCTGCTACTCGCCAGAAGGCTCAGGCTGACAAGCATCGCAGAGCAGCTCCGTCCTATGTTGTGGGGGACAGGGGTTTTGCTTTCCACGCGGAATATTCGTCTCCGGGTGCCTTCTATGAAATTGGCTCCCCGCTTCATTGGACCTTATCGTATTATACATAAGGTTAATCCTGTTTCTTATGCCTTAGGCCTGCCTAAGAATCTACGTATTCCTAATGTTTTTCACACCTCATTGTTGAAACCTTTCGTACGCAACCGCTATACCCGGCATACTCCTCCTCCCCCTCCTATCTCGGTGGAGGGTCATGAGGAGTTTGAAGTGTCTGCTGTTCTTGACTCTCGTTTCCTTAGGGGTCGACTTCAGTACTTGGTACATTGGAAGGGTTATGGGCCTGAGGAGCACAGTTGGATTTCGGCTGATGCTGTCCATGCTCCCCGTCTTGTGCGCTCTTTCCATTCTCGTTTTCCTGCCAGGCCTGGTCCTACCCGCCCGGGGGGCGTGTCCTCAGGGGGGGGTACTGTAGCGTTACTTACCTTAACCGGGGGCCGGTCGCGGTCCTCTCTTCAAGCCGCGCGCGGTCCTGCGGCTGCACGAGCCGCGCGCGGCTCATCCAACTGCTTTGGATGGAAGGCGGGCAGTGACCGCGTGAGGCGGTCACGTGTCCCGCCTGAAACTAAGAGCGCGCCGCGAGTCTCGGGCGCGCTCTTAAAGAGACAGTGGGAGCCTAATTGCCAAAAGGCTCCCATTGGCTCCTGTCATACCACACTCCCTGTACAATTACCTATAGGGGGTGTGGAAGTGACAGGAGCCAATCACTTTCGTTTTAAAGCTATTTAAACTTACCTTTTTCCCTTAGCTCGTTGCCCTATCGTGGTTTCTGTTCCAGTTCCCTTTAGCGCTTGTGGTGTTCAGTTGTGTTTTCTCGTATTGACTTTGGCTTCGTATTCTGACTTCGTTTTCGCTTTATCCTTATCTGTACTGTTTGCCGGCTTGCTGTTTTCCGTGTACCAGACCCCGGCTTGTCCTAGTTTACGCTGTCTCTCTGTGCTTTTGACCTCGGTTTGTTCCTGGCTCTGTCTCCTCTCATATACGTCGAGTCCGGCCATTCTAAGGTCCGGTAGACGTATCTCTCCTCTGTATTTGCCTCTGTTTAGCTGGATCCTGCGTGTAGGGGTATATTCTCGTTACACTATCTACCAAACAGCACAAATGTAACAAGGGCCCTTTTTCTTTATTTTGCACTTTTTCTTGTTTAGTAGATAACTCCCTAATTTGCTATCCTTCTTAAAATAAATGGCTCCAAAATAATTTGTTTAGTCATTTCAAATTTGTTTGTTTTTGTTTTGCTTCGGTTTGCGTCATCGTCAACTCAGATACTGATTGATGAATACGGAACATTTTTTAATTGGAACTAAACTAATTGCTCATGTCTACGGCAAACTACTTGGTGTTTTCACATTATTTGAGTAGCAATGCATTTATGCGATTGTAAGGCGCTAATCTTCAGTTCACATCCTATGTTCTTCTGCAGGTATTACCAAAAGGCGCCAAGAGGTCACCTATAAAATCCCACCAAACATTGTGCCCAAATCACCAGTCAATCGAATTTTAACTCTTAATGGTAAGTTGTTTTTGCTTTGTTATGAAAACTTGTACAGATAAACCATAAAATATAGTTATGGTAAGAAGTTGAGAGAACTATATATTTGTAAAAACTTGGTCGGTCTGCCTGGGAGTATCAGAAATGACCTACAACAGATCATCGGACTTCCAGCGTAGGGCATCAGAGAAAAAGTGTTTAACTCAACAACTGCTCATTCCTTGCCTATCTTCAACCTAAAATGGCTTTCCTCTATCACTGGACAGACAGTAACTGGTACATTTACTCAGCTGTTTTTCTAGGATAGATCCTTTAAGGAACAAAGTTTATTTATTGGCCAGGTAAAGTGCCAGGCTTTGAGTCCCTATATTGGGGTGTCTTGTGTTACATCACTAGCAGAGAGAATCTGAAATGGGACAGTTTCCCAGAAGTGCGACTAAGTGAATACAACAGCAACATTAAACAGAGGAAGCAAGGATGAGGAGTGGAACCGATTGTTGAAGCCTGCGTAGGGTGAGCGTTCAAGGTTTTATGGAAGCAGGATGTGTAAAGTTGTGGTCAAACCGATGCAACGTTAAATCAAGCAGATAAACAATATTGACAGGTTTTTGATCAGGTCACATAAGAGACGTATACCTTGGTTAACTTTAAGTTCTTTATTGGTAACCTTTGACATGGTTTTTCTTGAAACAATAAGAATAGCAGGGAAGTGGAAATAATATAGGGCAAAGGGAGAAAGCAGAACATATAAGTGAGATTATAGGTAAGTATATTG